TAAGAATTTTTTCCATTATTTTTCCAACATTCTCTTCTTCTGTTTTCAAAGTATTACGATATATCCAATGCTCAATTCCATTTTAATCGAAGTTTAAATCGTCAGACTCCATTTTTAATGTCTTAGGTTTTTGGTCATATCCGGTTGAACCACGAGTTAACGTACGATTAACGAAGTTAAGAAATATTGAGCCAGATAAATAACTATATGGGTGACCGTTTGGGAATATCAGGTACTAACTTATTACTATATAAAACTCTGTGAACTTTGTATCTTGTGTGTTTTCCAGAAATCATATAGAGAGAGTGTGGAAAAGAAAGATATAAACAGGTCATATATAGAGAGTTGGGAAATGAAAGTTTATTATCTTGTAGGAAGTGGAGGGTGGAACAGATTTTCTTACGAGAAAGTCTATAAAACAAAAGAAATCCGGCCACAAACAGGATATGCACAGTTGTCATCAAGGTCTACGCCACTCTCGCTTGTGAAATTCACGACCTCATGTTAAAAGCGAGAGCGCTGAGAAACTTCAGTGAGACCGCTTCAGATTATGCCAACACCGTCCATAGTTAAAAAAATATATATCTCCTGTATCCTCTTTACTATGAACCACGCACATACGAATTGTGTTTTTCACACAAACACACATATAACAATATTTCATTGTTTCCCATATACGTACACAAAGAGAATTTATATTTTATTTCAGAACTTTATTAATCGAAACAAAAAGATATTACTTTCCAATATATTTCTTGTATTCTTGTCGTTATATTCAATTAATTTTCCTTTTTGAAACTACGTTGTCTTTTCTGCTGAATTTTGTTCTTTCAGTGAAAATCATTTGATTATTATATAAAGCTCAATTATGCGGAGCCCCGCAATGATATTTTATTTTTTATATCGAATTCCAACACACCGAATATTGACATTCCAAGCTCTGGTTGTTAAAATTTGTTCAGACAGACGATTTTTTTAATATTGAAAGCTACTTCAATAACTGCAAATAAATTAATTTTTAAAATATTTTTACTTTCACAATCACTTCTTGAAACTAAATGTAAACAGTAAACATAACAATGTTGACCCAGCTGGTAGCAGGTGGTCTAGTAGTAGATAATGGCTTGGAATTGTAATTTGGTTGGTTATATACACTTACTCGTAAGTACCTCTTGGGAAATAGTATAAATCAACCTCTCCCTCCAGCTATAAGTTAATTAGTAGGACATGTATCAGTAAACCATTGTTATCTCCACAAAGATCTCTTGTAATCTAATAATATTTTCCGTCTTTAGATAACATACAAAAGTTGTAAAGCTATACGAATTACATCAATGGTTTTTAATATCATGTGTGTAGTCGTATTAAGACAAGCATAAATTACTTTTTACTCCATTTTTATTTATAAGTAGTATTTTTTCACTCATTTTTCTTGTAGTGCTTCCTGCATGATCATAGTTTTTTGTCTTGTGAATTTCATATTATTTCCGGCGTTATAGTGTTTAAGAAGCATCCAGAATTTTCTGCTTCTGTTACGATTCAATATAACAACATCTTACAGCATATTTCCTGTTTATTCCAGTCTAGAATATATTTACTGGTGTTTTTCCTGTTTATATATACTTGCTTGATTCCAAATTCTCTAGATAACTTACTCCTTTCTATTAACATAAAACAAACGCTTGATTTCGAAAGACAACTCTTTTAACATTTTTTTTTAAATTCTATATTTCGATTTTTGAAATGTGTTTTGAAAACATTTGTGACAGTTTTTATGATCGTTTGTACCTGTCATGCCATATGTCATTGACTGCGTGGATCTCCGTCAGGAACAGATTTTTCAAAGAATTTCTCTTCCCTATCCCAAATGATTACGACGAATGACAGGAGGCACCGGGAGGTTTGAACACAATCGATTTATTTGAGTATGTTGCCATTTGGTAAACCGCGCTTGTGTCATTTTCACTCTAGAGATATTGTAAAAGGAAGTTTCTTAGTTCACACGTAAGTTAAAACTTTCGAAAATATTTTACTCAAGTGCATATATATATATATATATATATATATATAAACATCTCTCTCTTTCTCATTCTCTCTCTCTCTCTCTCTATATATATATATATATATATATATATATATATATATACAGAACTTAAATTTTATATTCAGATAACGCTACTTTGATATATATATATATATATATATATATATATATATATATATATATATATATATATATATATATATGAAAGTACCGTTATCTAGAATGTAAACTTTAAATGTGTAGAAATGTCATTTTCGTTTTAATAGCTTCTAGTAGTATCGATTCGGTTTTTCAAATATATATATGCTGGAATGTCAATTCTGAAGCCTCAATAGTGGTCTTGTGAATGTGATTTGTATATATTTAAATGCAGTGCGTACAAAATTTGAAAAAAAAAACAATACAGTATCTCACATGAGGTACTAGTAAATATCAGATCTTTCAGAAGAAATGCAAGCTAAGGATTAAATGTCGTGTAGACATAATGTGTTAGTCTGCTTAGAGACGAATACCACCAAAGAAAATAACGATATTTTGAAGACTCATATTTTTCAAAGTATTTTTAAAATATTACCATTACTATTATTATTATTATTAATAATAATAATAATAGGTATTATTCAGATAGCACTTGAACGGGGACGACTGAATTTATACGTAGCCATTAAGATTTGAATCGATGGCGACACTCTTACAAGTTGTTATTCTGTGACTAGCAAAACGAAAAAGATAAGAGATCATCAACAATATGGAGGGTGCCAACAATGTAAGATTGGTAGAAAAATATAATACTGTGCGAAGCAAATAATAATAATAATAATAATAATAATAATAATAAATAAAATTGATGGTTTTATTCCTTCGGCACAGGACCAATGCTTGCTAACTATAAATACTGAAAGATTGTGTTTACCCGAAATGGAAATTCTGCGATAAATATCAAGAAACAATTGACCACCTTGTATCAGGTTGGACAGTGTTAGCACACAGTGAATCTTAAACTCGTCATGATAGATTTGGCTAATGTTTGCACTGGAACATATGTAACTCTTACGGGAAGGAAACTACAATAAATTGGTATGAAGACTCAGAACCTGTAACAATTTTATGGGATTTCACAGTAGCTGAAACTAGGCCATGCATTCAAGGAATGAAAAAAATAATAATGAGTTTATGTGTTTTTGAAGATATTCAAAAAACTATGAAAATGCAAAGATTTGATGTTCATTAAAGCATCAATAAATCCATTTGTTGTTGTGGCTCAGGTTTGATTGAGAATTGTTTAGATATACTCATTGAAGGAATCGTTAATATACGGCATCTTAGTTTTATGTTTTTTTTTTTTTTTTTTTACAAACAATTTTCAACCGACAATATAATACCTTTCCTAGCCTTATCTTTTGGGTTATGATCCCGGAAAGAAATGTGTATATACCAGAATACAATGGAATAATAATAATAATAATCATGATGTTTTTTCTATGGATAAGCTAAAAACTTAAATCATCTTGAATCGTTAATAAGCAAATGGAAAAATCCTAACATGAGTATGAATACAAAATTATATGTAAAAAACTAAAATCCCATCTTCAATATCGATATCGCAAAATACATTCGAATGCTTAAAGGTGGTCATCAGTGATGAAAGCCGTCTTCATCGCTGATTTCGGGGTTCTTATTCATCATATCAGCTCCGACAGCCACCCCCCGACCTGTTATCTTATTCTACAGGTCGCCACCGTGTAAAGAATTGTGCTAGTGCTCATGACAGAATTTATACTTTCAAGAGTTTAAACATTTTCTTTGTCCCCTATGTTAAACTGATATCGGTTTATATTTCCAAATGCGGCTACTCACCCCCACTAGGGAAACATTACACTGTAAACTATTATGACCAACAATTCGGCGCCTTTTTAAAGGACGTATTCCTATGTGTCAAAGACACTATAAACGATTTCCAATTTATTTGCTTTTGCGTGTCATTCGTTCAGAGGTCGTCATTCATTTTCCCGGTCTATCATTAACAGGACGACGAAATTTTAATAATCGACAATAAAGCTGAGAATATTGGTAATATATTCTCCGAAGATTTCCCATGTCTCGTTTATATTTGACGACTTCATTATTCAACACAAAGGGTGGTTAGTCCATTCAAATATAAACGAGAAAGAAGGTAGATACTGTTAAGATTTCTCCATCTGACAAACTGGCACTATTCATGCTTATACTCACTTGTGTTCTTGATACAACGGGATATAAGAAAACATTTCTGGAATTCTTACTTACATAATGTCCTAAAAAATGGTACCCTGAAGTTGTATCTCCTTTGGGCAATTGAGACCACCCACATGACAGTGTTAAATTTGTTTCTGAATCAAAGATACCCCATGATGTTCCACTACATAGAATAATCTTTCAGCACACCAAAGCCGACAGGGATAGCTTCAGCTTCAAAAATAGAAAGTCCAGAAATGTCGCCCCTATTTCTGAATTGATCAGTTCTATCATGCAAATTTATAGCCGAGAAAAAGTATAAAACAAAGCAATAACATGCTTTGGATCAGCCCAGAATGTATAACAGCCATAGCTTACCGAAATAAATCATGTTATCCCACGACAGTGAACCCTGTAGTAGACACTTGCTGCATTCATTACTGTTCGCATTCATTGCAAGATAGTTCTATTAAATGCAAAAAAGCTATGAGCAAGCAGTCAAAGCAAAGATTTATAACAAAATATTCGATCCCTGTGGGTTCTGGAAAAACTCAAATTAATCCCCAGAGACAAGGCGTCAGTATAGTGATTTTCCAAGCGTAGCACAAGGCCGAAAATATTGGGCACCCAGTGAAGATCGAAATCACTACTAAGTCGTAAATGATCAAGCGAAAAAGCTTCTTAACCATTACACCACGTCGAGCTGCCAAGTGGAAGTTTATCGCGGTAATAAATGTCTATTTACAGTACCAGGTGTTTCCAAGCGGTTCCCAATCTATGTACTGACTTGGATCTACAATGTTTAACTTCGGTGATCGAAAGAGAACTGGTGTTTTCATTGTGATTTGACTGTCAGCAGGAAAAGCGTCAATATATATCAATCTATAAAATGCAGGATGTGTGTGTGTGTGTGTGTGTGTGTGTGTGTGTGTGTGTGTGTGTGTGTGTGTGTGTGTGTGTACGTGTTACCAATGCACGCCCTCAATTCTCGACGGATTTGCACCAAAATTTACATGCACATGCTCCAAGTTAGCGAGAAGGCCAAGACCGACTTTGCATTTCCCAACTCCCATCAATAGTGGAAATAATAGATTTATCATGCTTCTACGGCTGTTTTCATGTAGTTTGCGGCCATTTTCTACTGACCAGAGTGAGAGCATATAGCTGGCTGCAACGAATAGGCAGAAATATTATATTGGCTAGCGTGAGAGCCAACAGCTGACTGACACGAATGTTAACTAGCATGCTAGTATGCAAAAAAAAATCAATAGCTGTATTCGTCACAAGTGGGGAAAATTTAAATCTGCATGGCACTTTACTCCAATTGGCTCATTCGCTTGCTTAAACTCAACGTTGTTTCCGATTCTGCAGAACTGGGTTGTGTGTGAAAAAATATTTGTTGTTAACATTCTTTTTTCATTCGGTTTTTCCATTTACGAGTCCTTTTTTAAAGCTAATTGTTTTGTGTTCATTTTGTTTATTTCTTTTTTCATAACAGATTTAATGTTTAGAATAGAGGTTAGAAAAAATTCGCAGTGTGAGATAGGCAAGAAGTAAGGCACGTAGCAACATCAGCATGGCAAAGAGCACTCCTTTAAAGGCAAGGAAGGGCAAAAATATTTTAAGTCATGTGATAGCAATTGTTGTATATGTCGTACAATTTTTTAATCAAGCACGGGCAACGGCGGGCCATACTGCTAGCATTATCATAAATGCTCTTGAAGTTATATCATCCTCAGCAGATAATTCAAAGTTCTTCGCAAATGAAAACACACTTCTGACGGAGATTTTTTTTATACCAATACCGTGAGATCTCTCTATCTACGGGAAACAATAGACTCTAAGACGGTTCCAGGTGTGGAAGGAGTTATTTTCACAAAATTGTTTTTGTCCTGGCTATAACGATAAAATACATCAACCGGGCACAAACCTTCTCTTAACTGCTATTGTTCCCAGGTCCTCCTTGACCTAGAGCCTCAGCACACGTTATGGTTCCAGTTAAGGGCAAATAGTGAGCACTCAGACTTAGGTCAAAACATGAAAATATAAAAAGGCATTAGAAAAATTTACCAGCAATATATTTTCATAATAATAGAAAAAAAATATATCCAGTAATACATTTTTGGGGAAAATACCTAAGCTAACAAGAAAATAAACTTTCGGTATTAACTGACCAATAAGGAGTTGATATGCTTTTCAACAAACAAAGCGAAATTAAAAGGGAAATTTTCTAACCACTACCCCCTCCCAAAAAAAAAGAAACAGTTTCTAGACAGTTATGTAATATCAGTTCGCATATATGCTAATGAATGTTGCCCAATTTCTCCGCTGATGTAAAGGAAACTTGGATCATAGGGATCTTTTTTTTTCTAGATTTATATTGAAAGGAATATGTACGTAATATGTAAGCAAACAGAACCTTTTAAGAAAAATGTGCATACTCAAGAGTCGGCTACAAATCTTTCTTAGACCTACAAAGGAAAGAAGCTCAGCCAGAGCAATGATCTACTACAACTTGAACGGACTCGGCACATAAAATATAAATGAATGTTGAAATTTTTTAACGCATTTGACTGGGACAACACTATTGTAAAATTATTTGTCACATATGTACTAGTAATTATTTCAATAATGTCTTTTCTAAAATGTATCGCTGGTAAAATCTGTGAAGTTCAGCAGAATAGATTAATAGTTTTATGAAACGCAATGAAAACTGTAGAAGAAATAAAAGTTCATATTATAATTCTGCTTGTCCCTTCCTTAGTCACTTACTTAGTTACTCCGTCTGTTACAATTCAAATTATTTTTTCAGTCTGGCTTAGATAGGGCGTTTGTGATGACGTCATCAACATATTGTCTGCTGAAAACGTTGCAAATAAATATAATTTTAAATCTTGCGACTTGACCCTCTTTGACCTCTCTCCTTGATAAACTACTATGAAGAAAAATATATACGGAAAAAACAAACAAAAATCCTTATATACAATTATGCTGTTTTAATGTTAATATATCAACGTCGGACGTTTCGGTCTAATAAACCATCTTCAGAACATATTCATAAATTAAAACATTATCAATACAACATGACAAAATGTCCTGAAGATGGTTTATTAGACCGAAACGTCCGACGTTGACATATTAACATTAAAACAGCATAATTGTATATAAGGATTTTTGTTTGTTTTTTCCGTATATATTTTTCTTCATACTGTCGGATTTATATCCATATATTTGCTTACATAAACTACTATGTAGTAATTTATTAAAGAGTTATAATGTAATTTTAATTTTACGTCCAAACTAGCGAATAGATTTAAACGTCTTTTTAATATGTAATCGATCAGGCCCTTGCCGATTCATCTGCAGAATGACATTAATTTCTCTCGCTTATTTATTGATTTATTAAAAGAAATACACGTATCTCATCGGCCCTTTATTTCGCTTAGTAAATTAAACTGCAGTATAGTACGACATATCCATAGTGTAATTTTTATGCTACCGCCAAACTAACGAACATATTTAAATCATTTTTAATACATAATCAAAGAGACCTTTGCGAATCGAACCTGGGCAGATAGCAAGAGAAGAAAGTAATTGATGCTATATGAAATAAATGAAAACTAGGCGCTGGGTCAGTAACAGGAAGTTTAACGCTAAATCCACCAGACTCGGACGAAGAAAAAGCTCATTAACATCTTGTAAGAGGGCGCGTGTGTGTGTGTGTGTGTGTGTTGAAGTATTAGAAATACGTGCGTATATTTCCTGATAGAACGGACCAACTACAAGAAAATGTCGGACACAAGTTGAATCCAACCGAAGATGTAAAGAAGACAAACAAGACTGATGTATACATGCCAAAAATTATATGTATTAAAGAACACAATTTTACAATGGACATAGACACTACCATTTTCGTGTGTGTGCACATTTGTGTTTGTTCTTTGATGAATGTTCGTACGTACGTGTATCTGTGTATAATGTTCATGGCGTCTTCCCGCAAGTGAGCAGATGTTATCTTTTGCATGAGCTCACATTGTAGTGGTGTTCGCTGAAATGAAGAAATGAAAAAGAGAACGAGACAAGAAGTCGACCAGTATTTATAGTATAGGGAGAGCGACCCCTATTGAATAATTAGAGAATTATGGAGGAGCTAACTCCGACAATCTCTTTATAATCGGTCTACCGAGATAATTCGGAAATATGCCACACTTGGATATCTGTATTGTTCAATAGTGTCGACTTTATGAGAAGAAATGATAAAAACAAAAAAATGTGTCTGGGAACCGATTTAAAAAAAAAAAATTATTGCGCCAAAATGTAAATGAGAAGAACCAGATCGGCCAGTTTGTTTACCTTTTACGACGACCGATAAAGTCTAATTCAGGTGTTTAATTAAGATTCTAATTAAAAATTGAAGTAACCATTCATCAGATTTGAATATTTACTGCATAATAGTTACAATTTAATTTTAATTTTACGCACAAACTAGCGAACAGATTAAATTGATGTTTTAATATTTAATCAATCATTCCATAAGCAATAGATCTGCTGAAGAATTTCCATATCAGTATCTTATTTATGGATTTATTTAGAAATATATACTTGCATGTCCAGTCTTTTATTTGCTTTAAAAGTACTACATAATTATTATGTCATCATTGTATTATAATTATAAGAAAATTACTCAACACTATGACACTATATGGACCATTTTTGATATTCTGTAACGCAAACGATTTTAAAACAGACAAGAGTCGCATTGTTATCTTGTTTGCAGTCGTGTTTGTTATTGTTCTATCACAAGCTGACTCACATTAAGTAGTGGTTTCCCTAAGAAACAACAAGAAATTCCCGCTTCTGCCTAGATCAGAACAAATACTAACAAGATAACTAGCCACTACGTTTTTTTTTATTGTTACAATACTTTGATAATTATTATGTAGTAATTTGATAATTTGATTGATAATTTTCTAATGATATGTTTTTGTTTGTAAATACGCATCTTCTACGTGGTAGCTAGGATGAGAAATTTTGGAAAATATGCCAACCGTGGAATTACCGCGGCCCACGCTAGTAAAATATTAGAAAAGTATAATAATTATTTCTCGATCATCACATACCTTAAGGTAAATGTTGTTTTCACATGAAGACAATTTTGGAAGTGAATGGAATTAAAAACGTTTCATTAAGTCGTTGCAATTAGGATGGATGATTCCGTTAACTTTTTTTTTCTCCAGATAACGATGCTAGGTATCTCTACGGTGAAAACAGTGTGACTCCTCAGACATTCTTTCTAGTGATTCCCATGAGAAACCAAGACAAATCGTTGAGATGGAGTTTACTATTTTTCTGGCAGCAACGCTATTTACCAAGTCAAAAAACCTTAGACACTCAATTGTTAACATTAACTTGAAATTTTGCTTGTTAAAAACTTGTATAATTTAACACATTCTACATTATGGATAAAAAAACATAGAGAATTTGATAAAGTGTTTTTCTAGATTTAGCATGAGCAAAACCAATTCACTGATTTGGACGGGGGAGTGGAAACAGGGAATGGCATCAAAATCATGAAGATATTTATCCTTTAATCTTTGAACTATTTGTAAGGTATATATATATATATATATAGGTAGAAAGAAAGCAAATGTTGGTAAGATAGTGAGAATCCAAAAGTACTGCCCCAGTCATAAAAAGGCTACCCCACCTGTTTTGGAGTAAATACGAATTGGCCTTGATGCTAGGGACATGCTTAAAAGAATGGGCGTCGTGATAGGCATAGTTGGTTACGTATAATTGTAACCCAGTGTCATTTCATTGGCAGGATGTCACAATGAATAATAATAATAATAAT